AGCGGATTGGGTCCACATTGACAGGCATTTGGCTTCTATATAATTTTGACTATTCAAACAAAGGCACTTTGGATATCCGCGCACAAGTCTCTGTAAGGATGTATGCTTTTATCTTTTGCCTAAGTAGATAGAAACGAAATGGCTGTCACATGGCAGGCGCATGTTTGACTTTTTAAGAAACCACAACTGTTCTCAAAGTGAATTGCATCATTGTTACCTTCTTTTCATTACGGGTGTGCCCACTGTGTAATACAATTTCAGAGAGGCCTATTGCACAATAACTGCCAAACCCAGTCCGCCACTTAGGACCCATGGAATGAGCTCACTGCTATTAATTTGCATTTTCCTGATAGCCAGTGATGCCAAACATCTATTCATGTAGGGTTAGTTTTTGCCATTTTTTTATTTTTCCTTTTAAAAAAATAATATTCTATTTTCAATTATCTATATGTGTGTTTATCTGTGAGTACGTATGTGCATGAGAGTGCAGGTGCCCACAGAGGCCAGAAGAGGGCGCAAGATCCTCAGTGCTGGGGTTACAGGCACTTGGAAGCCACCTGATATGTGTGCTAGGAACAGATTTAGATTCTTTGTGAGAGCAGCATGTGCTCTTAATGGCTAAGACATCTCTCCAGCCGGTTTATGTTTTCATGAGGGAATACCTGCTAATGGCTTTCTTAGTCTTTTTTTTTAATGCTTTTGGTTTGTTTTTGTTTTTCGTTTTGTTTTTTAGGGTTTTTTGTTGTTGTTGTTTTGTTTTGTTTTGTTTTGTTTTTCGAGACAGGGTTTCTCTGTGGTTTTGGAGCCTGTCCTGGAACTAGCTCTTGTAGACCAGGCTGGTCTCGAACTCACAGAGATCCGCCTGCCTCTGCCTCCCAAGTGCTGGGATTAAAGGTGTCAGCCACTGCCACCACCTGGCATTTTTTATTATTGTTATTCATTTTCAATTGTTTTATTGACATCTTGTCGAGTTTTAGAAATTCTTTTTTTCTAGATACAAGTAAGGGTTTGTCTGTCTTCTACCTCCTAGTTTTCCCTTTTCTTAATGGTGTCTTGAAGACTGTTTTTAAGTTTTGCTGAAGTCCAGTTTACCTGTTTATTGTTTTAACGGTTTGTGCTTTCATTGGTGTTAGCTAATTTCCTACTCTTCACAGAGAGTTTTTGTTTCTAATATTTTCTTCTAAGCGTTTTATTTTTTTTTTAAATATTTATTTATTATGTATAATTTATTTATTTATTATGTATACAATATTCTGTCTGTATGCCTGAAGGCCAGAAGAGGGCGCCAGACCCCATTACAGATGGTTGTGAGCCACCATGTGGTTGCTGGGAATTGAACTCAGGACCTTTGGAAGAGCAGGCAATGCTCTTAACTACTGAGCCATCTCTCCAGCCCCCTTCTAAGCGTTTTATAACTTGGGTTTTACACAGACCAAATCTTACAGTTAATCTGTGATCCAGAGTCAAGTTCTGTATATGGTTTGAAGTATGACTCACTTCATTTCTAGATATATGGACATCAAACTTTTCCAGTTAAAAACATAATTTTTGGTAAAAATAAAAATTACTAATTATAAAAATAAAATATTTAGGTAATATAAGACAGTGTTCAGTCTTTATCTTATCAATCTTTTATTTGTTGGTTACCTAAATACATGAAAAGGTTTGAATAGAATGCCATAGCTGGAGAGAATGCCTTGGAGGTCAAGAGACCATATTGCTCTTATAGAGGACCAGAGTTAAATTCCCAGCACCCACATTGGGCAGCTAACAACTTCCATTAGTAAATTTGGCTCAAGTGGGAAGGTGAGGTGTTCAATGCCTCTGGCCTCTGAGAACACACAATTAAAAATAACAATAATAGGGCTGGAGAGATGGCTCAGAGGTTAAGAGGATTGCTTGCTCTTCCAAAGGTCCTGAGTTCAATTCCCAGCAACCACATGGTGGCTCACAACCATCTGTAATGGGGTCTGGTGTCCTCTTCTGGCCTTCAGGCATACACACAGACAGAATATTGTATACATAATAAAGAAAGAAAGAAAGAAAGAAAGAAAGAAAGAATCATTTTTTTAAAAAAATAACAATAATAAATATTAAAAATTAGCATTGTATGTTTTCCCCTGTGGCCCTAATATATTAAGTTCTTTAACTGCTCTTTTCCATGTAATTTTATGATCTTAAACTTGTTAAGTTTTAATAGCTGCATATTTATTCTGTCACATGTACACTGAGAGCCATCCATTTTATTAAACATTGTCAATTTTATTCTTAAAATCTATTTTGACTTTATGCTTAAGTTCTTTGAGAGAGAGAGAGAGAGAGAGAGAGAGAGAGAGAGAGCATTTTAACTTTTAAAAATAATTTGTCAAATCCATGTGTTTGGATTTTAAAGAACTTTCTGCGTTTCCACAGTATATTCCAGAAGGATTCGGCAGTTTAGTCTTCCGTCTTCCACCAGCAGTAACTAAAAGACTGAGTCCTTTGTATCAAGTTCTGTTTATTGTTTTGTGAAACGGGAGGATGTCCTGACTCCCCTGTTCTTCCTCCATCTACTACCTTGCTCTTTATTGTTAAACTACAAACCGGGCCCTTCTGCTCAGCCATGGCCAGCATGAGGAAACTGAATTTTTTCATTCTGGGACAAGAAAAGATCAGCAGATGAACACACACACCCCTAGTCAATATAGGGAAACCAGTTTTCTTACTACAAAGTCATCTGCCAGTCTTCCTTGGGTCCCCTTCTGCTTGCCACAAGTCCTTCCCTATATTCTGCTCACACTCAGCCTTCTGATCTTTCTGCTGAGTCTCTTTCTCTGCTTCCTCCCTCCCCTCCCCTTCTGGGATGGCTAGTGTTGGTTATTAGCAAGACCTGGATCATCCAGGAGACAAGCGTGGGGCATGCCTGTGAGGGGTCCTGTGGATTAGGTTAGCCGAGGTGGGAAGAGCATCCTAAAAGTGGATGGCACAGGGTCCCAGAGTACATAAAGAGGGAGTGCTGAGAACAGCATGCATGGCGAGCTGCCTCCTCCCCGTGGGGGCAGTGGGACCAGCCTTTTCCAGCTGTGCTGCCCTGGACTGCACCTCCAGCTGTGACCCAAAATAAAGCATCCTTTAGTTCCATCACGGCGCTTTATCACAGCTGTAGAAGAGTAACTAAACCTCTTATCCTATCCTCCCCTCCTTCCTCCTCCTCTAGTTTCCTCTCCCTCCTCTTTCTCAGCCCTTCTTGCCCCTCTCCCCCTTCCTTTTCCTCTCTTCTTTCCCCCTCTCCTGCCCTCTCTCTTTCCTTCTTCCTCTCTTCTGTTCTTAAATGCTACAATAGAAAACATCATCTTGCTGGAAGCCCTTCACCGCCAAGCAGCCAGGCCTCTTTTATGCTTCCTTGCTGCCCCTCCTCTCGTTCTTTACCCGGCCTCTGCTGCCCATAGTTTTTATTGCTAAAGTTAGTGTCCTTCTCCCCAAATGGCTATTGCTAGACAATGTTTATGAGTTGTTCTATGGCTCTTAGTAGAGCTGTTTTTGTTTTACTACCTTTTCCTTCCTTCCTTGTGAAATTCTGTGGTTTTATCTCCTAGTGGTAACGCTTAGTGGTGCCCAGTTGGCTGATTGTGTCTGGGCACAGGCTGCGCTACCTTGGTAGCCATTGGTGTCCAGTTGGCTGGTTGTGTGTCTGGGCACAGCTGCACTACCTTGGTAGCCATTGGTGTCCAGTTGGCTGATTGTGTGTCTGGGCACAGGCTGCGCTGCCTTGGGCTCCCCTCTTACTTATCTTACTGCTTTGACGACGCCAACACAGAAGCAGTCTCCGGGGAATGTTCCTTTTGCTAATTGTCACCTTGTCTTTGGGCCGCTCCTCTGGTCACAGCTTTCATTCAAGAGAGCACACTCTCCTCCTGCCTCCCCAAGTATTTGTCGACCTCAGTGCTTTCATCATGGCCACGTTTTTCCAAAGCCCCTGATTATTTCATTAGGACACACATGTGGCCATATCCACAGCAACAGAGCTGCACTGTGCTTGTTTCAGAAACTGTGGAAGCTGCATTGCACTGCAATTAGAGGTCATGTTAGAACCCAGTGACCAGTGTGTCCAACCTGGCAGACTCTGGACGCACACACTTTTTTTTTTTGAAGGGAGAGGGGTCTTAAGGGAACATTCTTCAAGCAAGTCATGAAAAATGAATAGTATCTCTTCCTCCTGAACTTCCTGTGTGCCTTGTCCTGTATAATACTGTTTCTCACTGCTCTCACTACTGCCACCTCATGGCAGTTTGCACAGTCCTGCAGGACAGAGGTCGCATCTGTCAGTGCCCAGGTAGGGGAGAGCAGTACTGTGAATAGTGGGTGTTGGTCATATTTTTTACATCAGTGTCGGCCACTCATCTTAATAGAGTGGTCACTGTGTGAACTGGGCTTTGGCTCTCAGCTCCAGATAGGAAGCAGATGATTTTCTGTGTAGACCTTGGAGCCTCCCTTTTCTGTCTTGAACATGCTCCTGGAGGTCTGTCTGTCTTCATAATTTGCAACCCTGGGGTACCAAGGCTGACTGCACATGTGGTGTACTCGAGAACACATTTCGATTTTTCTTCCTATATTGTTGAAGGTGGGTCTGGCCATCAGGAGTTCGCACCCTTTGTGCGATCACTCACAGGACACGGTTCTTCCTTCGTCTTTGCTCAGAACAAGAAGGGCATGACAAAACATTTTTGTGATGATGTCATGGAGAAGAATAGATGTCTTTAGAATATAAAAAGAAAATAAATGATCAATTTGAAAAATATCAGCAAATTTGTAATATAGCTGAATGAAGTAAAAATAAATCATTTAGATAACTGTGGCTCAAGTTGTAGATACTCATTTGTGTATATTCATTTTCCAACATACTATATTTTGTTTTACATTTGCTCCCAGCAAAGAATAAGTGATAATGAATGACAAATACGCCGTAAAGCAGATCAAGCCTGCCTTTTGGAATTCCTAACTAATTCTTCTTTTCTTCCTAGGTTGCCTCTCAGTGCTGCCTTGGTGGGATTGGGCACCCAGAATGCTTCATTCTATGATGATCTATTAATAAGGTGACCTTGCTAGAGTTTGGAACAGGGCCTCAGGTAGGTGGCTTTTATCATTATATGGCATGATTTTCAAAGGGATCAGTGACTCCTGATCCTTAATTATGTGAGCTATCATAGTAACAGCTTTAAAAAGCATGCCACGTAATAAGCCTGCCACATAGGAGCTTAGGACTTGCAGTGTTCTGTGATCTGCAGGACTTCCACTAACCTGTCATCTGGACAAGGCAGAGAATGCATAGCTTCTGCACAGCCTGTTTGTGTCTCCTCTCAGAGAGCCCACAGAGGGGTAAACTACGCCCCAGAACCACTGTGTGTCCCGTCTGCCGAGGAGCTCTTACAAGCTGTGTGCAGGAGGAGACGCACATTAGGTGTTAGGTAGGCTCTCCAGAACGGGGCTGGTGCCAGAGTGCAGAGCCCAGTGGGACCCGAGCAGCTTCCCACCACTGCCGGGAAGAGGACACACGAACGCATCTAGATTTCCCCAACTGTAGTTATAACTCAGTGGCACAGAATCGAGGTATAGCAATATTGGGAACCCGAGCACAGCTGGATTTGAGCCAGGTAAGTCTGTCAGTGGGACCTTAAGCCCAAGACTGGAGTTCAGAGTCTCAGACCCCATGACTTCAGGAAAAGGAGCCTGGAAAAGGAAAAAGTGGTTACTCAGTGGATTCAAACTCCTAAGCTGGTCATCTATGGCCAATGCCCTCCCCTCCCCCCGCCCCGAGAAACTAGGCCTTGGACTGAGAACTAAACAGAACCTCTCAGAAACATGACAAGAACTAACCGTCCAATTAAAGGGTCATAAACTAATCTTAATACCAACAGCATTCTATGGAGAATAAACACTTAAGCTTGAGTTAGCATAAAATTTTAGTCATCTCTACACTGCAGTTTTTTTTTTTGGTTTTTTTGTTTGTTTGTTTGTTTTGGTTTTTCAAGACAGGGTTTCTCTGTGGTTTTGGAGCCTGTCCTGGAACTAGCTCTTGTAGACCAGGCTGGTCTCGAACTCACAGAGATCTGCCTGCCTCTGCCTCCCAAGTGCTGGCACTGCAGATATTTTTAATAAAAGTGTTAATGATTGTTTTGATTTTGTGGGATTATCTTTTTTTTATTTATTTCTTTATTTATTATTTATACAATATTCTGTGTGTATGTCTGCAGGCCAGAAGAGGGCACCAGACTCCATTACAGATGGTTGTGAGCCCCCATGTGGTTACTGGGAATTGAACTCAGGACCTTTGGAAGAACAGGCAATGTTCTTAACCTCTGAGCCATCTCTCCAGCCCCTGTGGGATTATCTTTTAAACTGTTATTAATGATGGAATTTTCATTGATAATGATAGAGACTTTTAGTTTTATTTATTTTTTGAAAATTTTGTACATGTACATAATGTACCAGACCCACCCATCACCCCAGTTCCAGTTCCCCCTAGGACTTTGAATCACATCCCTCCCACCTCATGTCCTCCTTTTACAATTGTGTTATTCTGAGTTCTGTTACTGTGGAGCTATTTTTAGTAGCTAGAGAAAGGAAAAATACTTACTTTTTCTCAACCACACTGTTTATACAAAGCTTACCTTTTTTAACTTTCTTGTATTGTGATCAGTTGATTTTTTTTTCCTTTGATATTTACAGTGGCATCCTCATTCTTAACCTCACATATAGAATATTCTCTTTAAAGGCTTTAGAATTCCGCTTGAAATGATTTTTCTTTGCATAAGACTCTCGTCATTTCCAGACAATGCATTGTGATCAGCACAGGGCACATGTGCTTATGGGTACGGGGGCAGAGCGTGTGAACAAGGACAGTTTCTGGGATGTCCACCATTTAGTTCCCAGCCTGCCTGGTCTGAATAGCATGTGCCTAAGGCCCCTGCTTGCACTCCTGTCTTCTGGGGCCACCTGCTGGGGTGCAGAAGCAGTAAGGCTCCCCAGTGGCCTCCAGCCATCCTGGACACATCCCGCTCACCCCTCTGTCAGAGCACGCTAACCATTTCACTGCCTTAGGTTTTCTCTGGTCGTGCTTTGCAGCTGGCTGATGTTTCCAGAGCTCACAACATGCTTCCCTGCCTGCTCTGCTTCTTGCGATCCCTTACCAGGGACTGCAGCTCTTCTCAACAAATATTTATCAGATAGAGCCAGCCAGTGGTGGCACACGCTTTTAATCCCAGCACTTGGGAGGCAGAGGCAGGCGGGTCTCTGAGTTGGAGAAACCCTGTCACACAAAACCCCAAATGAATAAAGTTTATCAGATGACCACAGCACGGCAGGACACTGGCTAGGTCTCTTGATGATGTTGCCTAGCCTAATCCTGGTCATCTTGGAGATGTGGGATTAAAGAGAAGTTGCTGTTTCTAGATGTGATTTTAACCTTGACAGTCGCACGATGTAGCACAGGGTGCACAGACTAGTAGCAGGGGCAGAGCCTTTCGTGAGGACTGGGTTCTGTGGCCATGCATTTTTTTGTTTCTTGAGCCTCAGCATGCAGCTTAGGTAGCGTTTATCCCTCCTCACACTGCACGGCCTACATTTACAGTGTGCGCTACTTTGATAGCTTGAAAGTGATTTCTCACATTTTTGTTTTGTTTATTTCAAGACAGGGTTTCTCTGTAGCTTTGGAGCCTGTTCTAAACTCACTTTGTAGACCAGGCTGGCCTCAAACTCACAGAGCTCCGCCTGCCTCTGCCTTCAGAGTGCTGGGATTAAAGGTGTGCGCCACCACTGCCTGGCTTCACGTACATTATTATAACTAAGATTTTACTTAGCACTTTTCTTCCGTTCCATCTGATCACCACCTTTTCCTGAGCTTATCTGCAGATTTGCTATGCGTGCCTGAGAATCCAGACATGAAACCTGGATTCTGTAATTTGAATTGCATTAGGTAACTACTCATCTTAGAAGACATACTCTAAGTGGTTCAGGACATCGGTGTGTTAGGGTAGTTCATCAGCACCCACCCCAGCAACACATGCAGTTTGTGGTAGTGAAAACGAACTCAGGAACGTGACCCATGGGCAACCGCCTTCCTAATGTAGCTGCATGGCAAATATGGAGATGTTTGTGCCTTTTTAGAAGCCCAGAAAATCCTCCAAAAACAGCTACTAGTATTGATTAAACTTTCTTACTTTGCATTGTTCTAATCGCGATCAGCTGCCCCTCCTGCTCGCCCTCCTCACTTCCTCTTCTGCGATTCCTCTTTTGTTTACTCCGTGCAAGAACTAGTGTTCCTACACCAAGTGAGACATGCCTGGCATGCTCCATGTCCTGGTTTCCATTTCATAAAGATGTGCAGTCACAGAGATCTCCCGTACACGTAAGACATGCCTGCTGTCTCCTGAGTCACCGCCCATTCATCCGCTTTAACTCGCTGGCCCTTTTCCTCCATAATAAATAACCAGGGCATGTATTTGTGAATTTAAAAGCACATTTGCTTGACTTTCCCGTGTTCCTGGGTGTCTGCTGTTCTGTGTGACTCTCTAGAAAGAAGAGTAGTGGTGGAGTTTCTGGAAACTCTGGGGTGCCAAGTTTGAAATCTGTGGACATTGCCCTCCCTGTCCTTAAAAACAAAAAGATAAGCCATTTCCTTCGCCTCTCTAAGTTTTTGCTTTATATTAAATATAGGATGCGTCTAGATATGATTAGGGCTAATTTTGTGGTAAAGTTGAAAAAGATTGTCGTAAAACAAATTACTCAAAACAAATAGAAAAAAATCAAATGTAGAAAATTTTCAAAAGGCATCCTTAACTGTATGATTAATTGACTGACATCTAATGTAGTTAAAAGTAAGTAATGTGATTTTGCTCAAGTCTCATTGCTGAGTTCTTGATGACCCGAAATTCAGGTGAGTTAAGTACACATCTTGGCTGTGCTCACTGCTTCACCGTGGGCTTGCTGCTCCTCTGTCCCCTGTAGAGATAATCCACTCCACCTGAGCATCTCACCATCTTTCTGCTTCAGGCCAGGTAGCACAGGTACCAGGCATGGTTTCACTCTAGAAAATTTTATTAGGAGTGGGGCTGGATTGATGTTCTCTGCTCATGCTAGCTAATTCCATAAGGATCTCATCCACTAGAGCATGCTGGAAAAGGTGAATATTTCAACCAGGTTATTATAAGTGCTAGTATTATCTTGGACTGGAATATGTATTTGCTGTCTTCTGTCTGCTATGATGAGCAAGCCTGCAGGTCGTTATGTTAGTGGTAAGCACTTACCGTTTTAATCTTTCTTGTTCATTCAACAGTTACTTTACTGTCATTTATGGGAAACAGCAGTGAATAAAACTGGCCTGACCCTGCGCCGCGCTGCCTACAGTTGATTGCTCATTCTCTGAAGGTCTTTTTTGTTCGTTTGATTTTTGCATTTGTCTTCTTTTTAATCTTCATTTTTTTGACAGCTTAATATGTGTATAGAATGCATTTTGATCATGCTCACCTCATTACCCTTTCTTAAGTTTTGTAATTCAATGTAGTTTCTATTCTTCTCTCGCAAGGGACTCTGTAGACGGAGAGCTGACTGCCGAGAACTCCCAAGTTAGATAGGATTAATGATGTTTTAAAGCAGTGCTCCAAATATATGGTATGCCTCCTTCAAAGTTGAGTTCAGTTATGTAATCTAGTTCATCTCCCGTTCTTCAACATTTTACTATTTTATCATACATATAAAGTATTATCGCTGCTAAGTTTCCTTCTGTGATCCACCCCGTTCATTCTCTACGGAAAGAAAGTGTTTTAAGCACATGTTGACATCTCTCTGAATTGTGAGCCAGTGGTTTGTTATGATTCGTATAAGTGGGAGCAAAGCTTTGGTGATTCTTAGCAAAATCTCTTTGACTTTTTAAAATGAAAACATTATCAGTGCAGGTAAGTGTGGCTCAGGCTTTATAACTATTGACAAAGCAACTCTCAGAACTGTGGGATTCAAAATACAAAAACTGTTTCAACATCTCATAGAAATCAATTTCAGTAAACCCTCCTGATGTGCAATTTGTTTGCTTGTTATTTTTCTTCATGAGCCACTATTTCCTCAGAATAAAACAAAACGTAAGAAGATGAACTTCCGTGCCCAAGCATAGACTCTTTCCCCCAGCTACCGCTGCTATCTAAAGCAGAAACCTGCCGAGTAGGGTGGAGGTGGAATCAGCAGGGCTGGGCGTGTTCTGAAGTCACTGTAGGGCAGCATAGCGTGGGTGTATGTGCTCCCCACCTTCTACAATCCCTCAGACAAAGGCACAGAGGGATTCCAGCACTTAAATGATGGAACCGATCTTTGATAAAGTATTTAACTAGAAAAGGGAATGTATGTTTGTTGGGTGATGATACCACCACCCCCATCCCCACCACCCCTGCTGGACTCAGAATACACAGATAAGTGTAGTTAGCATTTTAGTTAGGAATACATAAATATAAGCTGTGTTTATTTTTTATATTTATTCTGTCCAAATCTAATCAACTCCTGATTTCCTTTGTTTAGGGAAATAATGAATAGTTCTTTGAAATTATTTGGCAACTAATAAAAATTCAAAGTAGGGTAAAATTTAGAGAAATTAATTTAGGAGTTACATTTTAAGATAAACTAAATTAACATGGTGGCTTTATTTGCAATTTTATTTCTGGATATAAGCTATATAGCGGGGGTAATTTGTAGACAGTTCTGTTTGTGGACTGTCTGAAATCCTTAGCCACTAAGGCCTTTCTGTTATGAAATGCCCTGCACAGCTCAGCATAGGTAGAGTGTGATGTCTTTAGAAGGCAGTAAGATTTATAACAAAAAATACAGATTTGTTATTTGCTAGTCAACTTTGGTTTTAGAATTCTACCCAAATCATGCACTCAGAATTGCTAATTATTTTAATGATTAATTAAATTATTTAAAAATTTACCTTGCAAATTGCTTTTAAACTTTTTCCTTAGTTACTACTTCCTTTTGGAATTTTTTTTTTTTTTTTTTGGCAGTTCTTATAGAATACTGATAGCACTGACCTCCTTCTGGGCTCTAAGTGTAATGTCAGGATTTCTCCACATGCAGGTTGCCTTGCTAACCTGCCCTATCACAGATCACAGTAGAATGGAGATGAGATAGGAGTTGGCACCTAAATCCTGTCTTGACACAGACAGCACGTAGTTCACTAGCAGTGGGGGTAGATGCAGCCATCTTGGTCACTGACTACAAGGAAAGGCCAAAAATTAAAATACTCTTTATAAAGTATTTACATTATTCAGGTAATAGCACATAAAATGAACTTTTATGTTCATAATTACCACACCAAATATTCAGTGTGTCCCTGGGCAAGTAAGTATTGACAAAACTAATGTTGCTGCTTTGCAGTTTTAATGTTCTTCCACTTATGCATGTCCTATGCTTAATAAAAATGGGGCTTTTGCTTGGACTTTTAAAAATACCTTTATTTGTCTAAAGTTTTTTAAAATAATGTGAATAATAATAATACTGGTTTCTATGTACTTAGTAATTTTGTAACGATGCTTGAATGTCCTCTACTAAATATTTTCTTTCTATATTATTTTACATATCATAAAATTCTGAAAGTAAGTGAAGATTTTAAGAAATATTATTAGATTGTTATACACTTGAAAAGTTTTAAACCGAACCTGTCATTGGCAAATCCTTTTGTTAGTGATTTTTAAGTATTTGATTTTTATTACCCCTCAAGTTCTTCTAATTAAATACTTCTGAGTACTTAATTACAAATAATCACAGCGTACTAACCACTGTTTGCCTTGTATTCTTTGTAATAATTGTAGATCTCTTTTACTTTATACCATTGTTGTGCCATTTTCTTTCATCGTAAATATTAACACAGTTTGTATATATACTATCAGTCAGCTAAAGACCTAGCTACCAGCAGGCATCTTTAAGATATCTTCAGGCTTTTCAACAGTGGTCTCACGCAACGAGTATTGCCTTTTCCCTGACACCTGCCTCTTGTAGCAAAGCTGTATTTAACGTCCCCATATGTACCTGGAATCTGAACGGAGAGTGGTTGCCACATTCCAACCAGCCTTACCCCATTCTTCAGTTTAAATTGGCAGTTCTGTAAGTAGCCCCCGTTATAAGTGTAGGCAGTGTGGGTAGCCATGCTGAGATGAGGTTTCCAGAGGCACTCTCCTGATGAAAATTGAGTTTGTATCTTCCACCACATTAAGCCTAATGACTCTTCGCCAGCTTTGTTTGTGGTCAGTAACTCTAAGAGCCATTTCCCTTGGTTAGGTTCCTTTTTTATTAACAAGTGGGGAATCATTCAGCATCACAAATTGGCATTTTTTTTCTAGGTAATGCTGTTTTTCTTTTTATGTGTGCATTTATTTGGCCATGTAAAGTGTGCTTACAACTAATCGAAGCAAGCAGTTGGTGGGGATTAATGCACGACCCAGCAGCAGAGTGGAGTATAGCATGCGCTATGAAATTGCAGTTCGTTCATGCTTTATTTTCTGCCCTTCACACTCTACTTTCACTTATACTATAATCCATTCTGTTTTTACTTCTTCATAGATTGGCCAAAATGGGAAGGGCTGGATTCTGCTCTCTTCCACGAAGAGTTAATGGGACTGGCTAAGATCAAAGTCTGAGGCTTTTTCCATCCTTAATCAGGTATACATTGAACAAAAATCACTAGTTATGTGCATGTGCCTTTAAAGTATTTGGTTGATAAACATGTTATGAATATAATTTTTATTTGATGTTACATTCACAACTTTATATTTATCCTGAAATTTTAAATGTACCTATGATAAGTAATTTGAATTTTGTAATGGATTAAAATATAAAAGCATTATCAGCCATGAAAATTTTCAGCTGGTCTTAGAAAAGTGTAATATTTGCTATCAGTGCACTTCCTCATTGCTCAGTATGTACATCCAGAAACATCCATTCGTTACTTCAGATTGAGTACCCCGGTTTAATATGATCAGATGCGTGCATGTTGTTTTATGGTGCCCTTTTAATGTCTTGTCAGGAAGGAGTTGCATTAAAGTTGCTTTTCTCTTCTGGAATCCTCAGCGTCACAGCTGTGTTGCTATAGTGGTGATTATGACCAGTGTTCAGACCTAGTTATTTAGATGCCTTGCATTCCCTTTTGATCCTGCAGTTGGAAAATGATTGACGTGGTCAGAGTCTCAGTAGGTCTATGAAAGCATTAAGTGAGGAGGTCACAGTGAAAATTAAAGCTGTATACTAATTTACTGTCATTATTGATCTGTAGAGTAGCTCTTACCCCTAACATGAAGGGAGGCAAAACATCTGTCCTTTGAATGAGCTCATAACAGGAAGAGAGCAAATCTTTGAGCTTCAGAAAACCCACAGCCAGAGCTAACAGCTCATCACTGCTGTGATGTCAGAGCTAACAGCTGCAACAGTGCTATGATGTCAGATCTAACGACTGAGTTATATTATGTCAGAGCTAACAGCTGTGTTAGTGCTGTGATATCAGAGCTAACAGCTGCATTAGTGCTGTGATGTCAGAGCTAACAGCTGCGTTAGTGCTGTGATGTCAGAGCTAACAGCTGCATTAGTGCTGTGATGTCAGAGCTAACAGCTCATCCGTGCTGTGATGTCAGAGCTAACAGCTGCATCAGTGTGTGATGTCAGAGCTAACAGCTGCATCAGTGTGTGATGTCAGAGCTAACAGCTGCATCAGTGTGTGATACTCATTACATCATATTAATATCATTTGTAAACTGCAAGAGGAGCTTCCTGATATTTAGAAAATGTAAAGGCCTGCATCTGTCTTACAAAAAGAAACTGTATGTGCTCAGCTTGCCTGAATGCTGTACTGCTTCAGTCATAATGGCTCACTGCTGCTTAGTCTACTAGGGACAGCCTCTCTGCTAAAGCACAAAAAGATACGGCATGCACTTAAGTATTACCAAAAGTAGATGTTTAGAATTCCTGAAAAAAATCTAAGTGGAATCTATGAAAGTGAGTGTAACACACTAAATTGTGTAAAGGCATGTGTATACCAAAACACAGGTGAGATAAGGAAGTTGTGTTTTTTTCTTTAAAATATATAAGAGGATGGCAAATTCATTTAACTATATTTAGTAGTCAGATCCTTTTAAAAGGCATTACAGTTGCTACCACTTCTGTGGTCTCCTGGAAGAACCCCTCTAAATTACCTTAGGAAACCTTGAGGGAACATTTGCCTCAGTGGTTCTCACCGCACCCGTGTCACATATCAAATGTTTACATCATGATTCATAACAGTAGCAGACTTGTAGTTATAAAGTTGCAACAAAGTACTCTTATAGTTGGGGGGTCACTCCAACATGAGGGACTGTATTAAAGGGTGGTGGCATTCGGGAGGTTGAGAACCACTGATCTAACTCACATAGCAGTAAAGTCTTTGAGGAGTTGATTTTCCTGCTCTGAGAAATAGAGTTAATTATATTAACTACTTCTTATCTATGGAGGTTTCTGTTTAGTTTCAATTATCTTGTTTAAAAGTAACGACATACTCTTTGTTGCTCAAGATACATACTTCGTTCTTTCTCATAGCACTGATAGTGAATTGAAACTCAGGGCGAAACACTTCTGTGATGATGCGTTTTTGCACAGATGTTGAGAACTCTGAACAGGTGTGCCACACTCAGGTTCAGTTGTATCAAAAGTTAATTTGTTCAGCTTGGGGAGGCCTAATGGCTCCAGCTTATTAGTAACATTAGTGCACCCAGTGAGAATAATCTTCTCTGTGACGTAGAAACAATTGAGGGACACTAACCCTACTTCCCCAGATGACAAGGGTCTGCAGTGTTCACCTCAAGTAGTATCAACAGGCTTTACCATTTCAAGAATATTTGTTCTGAAGATCAATCACTTCCACCCTTGTTCAGAAGCCCCCTCGGAGTATTCTAACACTGGTCAAAGGGTCAGTTTGCACTCAGTGGTGCTTCCACCTCTTCCTACGGGATCTCAGCTTCCCGCACCTCTTCCATGGACTCCCTGGTTTGCCAGGTGCTCTAAGTGCGTGTGTGTCCGCGTGACCCACGTGCACAGCATGGCGGGCACAGAGTGCAGTGGCTGTTCAGCTGTAAGATGGGAAGTTTCTGGTGCAACCTTTAGACCCTACTCTGAGAGTTCGTGAGTTCACTGCTGTCCTGCTAAGTCCAGCGTTTGTCAGGTGCGATTTCAGGGTATGTATGAACTGTCCATTCTGAGCAATGCATTGATATCTATCTGTTTTGGAAAATACAAAGGAACCTACAGATATTACATTGGACCAGCTGAATCCATTTTATGGTTTCTTTTTTAATTCAAAAGCATCACAAAGCAAATAATTTTTTAATTGAGTTTAGTTACAAACTAGTTGTTTCTTATTTTTTTTTCCAGTCCCTTTTTGCTTTCTTTTACGACCACATGAAACTTGAGAAGCCACCTAAAGCTATATCACTTAGTGGAGTTGGGCAGTTCCCAGGTGTCCAACAAGAAGGCCTGGTTTAGGCTGCGATGGCCACTGTCATTCCTGGTGATTTGTCAGAAGTAAGAGATACCCAGAAAGCCCCTTCAGGGAAACGTAAGCGTGGTGAAACCAAACCAAGAAAAAACTTCCCTTGCCAACTGTGTGACAAGGCCTTTAACAGTGTTGAGAAATTAAAGGTTCACTCCTACTCTCACACAGGAGAGAGGCCCTACAAGTGCACACAACAAGACTGCACCAAGGCCTTTGTTTCTAAGTACAAATTACAAAGGTACTACGCTCTATTTGTCTTTCAGATTATGCTTTCTCTTGTGTTGGCCGTCTGAAGCCGTTGTAAGTGTGTGTATCTGTATACACATTTCTCAGCTCATTCGCAGACAGGAAATGTTAAGTAGATTAGACATTGGGTAGCCTGAAATATTCTAAGTTACATACTTCTGTGGTAGTGTCTTTGGATTTTTTTTAAAGTAAAAATGCTTAATGAGAGTAGAATTTCCATGTGTAAAGAGAAATTTCTTCATGGAAAGGGTGTGGACATTACATGAATGTGTTCGGTCTTGCTTGTTTACTTTTGAATGAGAACTGAAAAGCAGTCAGCACTAAAGAGGCAACGTAGACGGCTCAGGTTCTGCAGTGTGTTGACTGTGCTGTGCTGTGTGCTACTCAGGGAGACCCTCGTTAAGAGAGCTGTGAGCTAGCCTTATAGTTTAGCTTCCCATTTGAAGAATGAGCATGTACCCTTTTGCTAAGATATTCACTCACAGAATCTATCTATGTTTAAAGGCACATGGCTACTCACTCTCCTGAGAAAACCCACAAGTGTAATTATTGTGAGAAAATGTTTCACCGCAAAGACCACCTGAAGAATCACCTCCACACCCACGACCCCAACAAAGAGACCTTCAAATGCGAGGAGTGCGGCAAGAGCTACAACACCAAGCTCGGCTTCAAGCGGCACTTGGCCCTGCACGCTGCCACCAGCGGCGACCTCACCTGCAAGGTGTGTTTGCAGACTTTTGAAAGCACGGGCGTGCTCCTGGAGCACCTGAAGTCGCACGCCGGCAAGTCCTCTGGGGGCGTGAAGGAGAAGAAGCACCAGTGCGAGCATTGTGAGCGCAGGTTCTACACCCGGAAGGACGTCCGGAGACACATGGTGGTGCACACGGGGAGAAAGGACTTCCTCTGCCAGTACTGTGCACAGAGATTCGGACGGAAGGATCACCTCACTCGACACATGAAGAAGAGTCACAACCAAGAGCTTCTCAAGGTCAAAACGGAACCGGTAGATTTCCTGGACCCTTTCACCTGTAACATGTCTGTGCCTATAAAAGACGAGCTCCTGCCGGTGATGTCCTTACCTTCCAGTGAACTCTTGTCCAAGCCATTCACAAACACTTTGCAGTTAAACCTCTATAACACTCCATTTCAGTCCATGCAGAGCTCCGGATCTGCTCACCAAATGATCACAACCTTACCTTTGGGAATGACGTGCCCCATAGATATGGATGCTGTTCATCCCTCCCACCATCTTGCTTTCAAATGCCCGTTCAGTTCTACCTCATACGCAATCTCTATTCCTGAAAAAGAACAGCCATTAAAAGGGGAAATTGAGAGTTACCTGATGGAGTTACAAAGTGGTGCGCCCTCTTCCTCCCAGGATTCTCAAGCGTCGTCATCTAAGTTAGGGTTAGATCCTCAGAGCGGGTCCCTCGATGACGGTGCGGGGGACCTCTCGCTGTCAAAGAGCTCTATTTCCATCAGTGACCCCCTCAACACACCAGCATTGGATTTTTCTCAGCTGTTCAATTTTATACCATTAAATGGCCCTCCTTACAATCCTCTGTCCGTGGGGAGCCTCGGGATGAGCTATTCCCAAGACGAAGCGCATTCTTCTGTTTCTCAGCTGCCTGCCCAAACACAGGATCTCCAGGATCCTGCGAGCTCCGTGGGTCTCGGTTCTCTGCACTCGCTCTCGGCGGCGTTCACGAGCAGCCTGAGCTCGAGCACCACCCTGCCCCGTTTCCACCAGGCCTTCCAGTAGGGCCTGGCGGCAGGTTCGAGAGGGAGGAGCGCGTGTAGCCCCGCCCTCGCTGACCGTTTTATCTTAGTGCCTACTTTAAGACAATACAAAAACTTCTGCTTTTGTATAATATCAGGTTTCACGAAGCCAGTAAATAATAGGAACTAGCCTCTTCGGTAAGCTTTGAAACCATTCATTGTTTAATATGTTTGCCGTTTCTCCCGATTTACTGCCAGTTGTCATAGTCTCAGAGTTTTATTTCATATAGGAGCGCCATTATTATCATTAAATTCTTCAGGTCCTGTGTTCAAATTACTATTAGACTTTAAAATTTTCATTTTTGTCTAATAGCATTGGGCATCGGACATTTGGCTCATTTTTTTTTGCAAATATGCAATACAATGTAAATCTTATGTAGCATGTGTGAATAGCTGAGGTGTTTTACATGTTTTGCTAGCCACTAAATAGATTCATGATCAAGTGTTTTAAAGAAATCGAGAATCCAGCTTGGGGAGATTATAGTGGTTTCTTAAATATGCCATCATTTCAGATCAATATATTTTGAAGACTGTTGTCTGACAAAATGAGAGAAGAGAGTCTCGGTATCCAAAAGGAACCTTGAGAGGTCACAGGGTGTTCTGTGTTGGCACTGTTTTGCCACATCTCAACCATCTTCTCTTTATGTTAACAGTGTGTGGCATCAGTCTTTAGGAGCAGGGTAGAGATGTCCTGTTTCATGTCCTTCGCCTTTCGTACCCAGGATGGCCTCAGTGTACCAGCATTCTTAATGTTGCATGTTGTCCGTAGTCAGTCCAGAGTCTTGGGGCCATTATGGGGCAGTAGTCAGTGAAACCCAGAGTAGACTCCTCGGCAGGACGATGGATGTCAAACATACAGCCAAACCTCAGAACTTGTCTAGAGAATCCCCACCGTTGCCAGAGCTGAAAACTGGACTCTTTCGGGGCAGAGTAAAAGCCCATCTATCCCATCACTTCTAAAACAGCAATGTACGTCCTCCTCGCCCTGCCGTGGTTGGATGGAGAACTTAAACACATTAAAATGCTACCTGAGGAGTCTCCACGACGTCTTACACAACCCACACAGTAAAACCCCACTTTTGACACATCTTAGAGAGTGGGAGAAGTGTCACACAATAAGCCGAGTTTGTAGAGGAAACAAGGAAAATAAAGCATACACCGAGTGAGTGTGGAAGCACCGAGGGTATGGTGCTCACAGACGCGGTAGTAATGGCTTCCTCATGCCAGCCAGGGCTCTGATCAGCGGTGCCGTGGAGATTTTCCTAAGGGTTGCTCGTGGCATCAGCCTACAAGCTGTATCTATTAAGCACTTGTTAACTCCTTATTTTGAGACCCCTTTTGTTGGGGCAGGGGTAGGGGAAAATTTACAGAAGAGTATGTATCTCTTAAAAAAAAAAAAGAAAAAGAAAAAAAATATTTCTGAATTTCTGAGCACTCAATTAGCCCTGTATGGGGAAACCCGTTCCCTTTCCTAGGGCCAACTATCACTGCAGATTGCATTGTTTACCAATAATTCTAAACATGAGTATAGATTGCTGAATATAACGCATTATTTAAAATACTTGGGAGTAGTATAAATCGAGGAGAAGTGTAAGATGTCATATGGATGGGGCTTTTGCTGTTTGTTACACACGTCTGCGCACTTCATAGACTCAGAGTCTCTCTCCGGAGGGCTCTCGCTCCCGCTGTATGTTACACACACGTCTGCGCACTTCATAGACTCAGAGTCTCTCTCCGGAGGGCTCTCGCTCCCGGTTTTCACCCTGGAGCAATAGTTTTTATACTTATGTATTTAAATTTTATTATGAAAATTTACATTTTATTAAAAAAAAGTGTTCCAAAGGCATTAAAATTATATATGTTAATAAGGAAATGCATTTTTAGCTCTTCAAGCTGCTCCTGAGCTGTGGTCGGGAGCGCGCTCACTCTCCACGTGGGCTCTTTGCTCTGCTTCAAGGCGGCTTCCTTAGTTTCTGTGAAACAGATCGCTTACCTAAAGCTCTAGTTGAATGATTAGTGTTCAATATTGCTTTACTCACCATGGAAAAAGGAAAAGAAAGTTGGTGACAGAGTACAAGTAAATAGAAAACCTATTTTTATGTAGAGGTTGGTCCCAGACACCACATACGAAAGCACTAGCCTATTCTATCTCAAATTTGCGTAAGAAAAAGTCACACTAATGACCCGAGACGTCGGCCTCTGTGGGCTGTATTTCACTGCTAATTGAAAAAAAGGGAGTACCAGGATATATGAAATAAAGCATTTTGAAATGGGAAAGGCGCCATATCTGTATATATATAAATATATTTTTATCCTAATTCTTGCCCTGCACAGAACTCTAATACACATCTTCCAGGGTACCAGTGTTAAAACGTAGAGTCTTCATTTTCTTTGTATGTACACCTCTCTGCCTATTGCTGCCCCCACAGACTTGAAGAACACTTCAAAGTAAGAGGGAATCCAGCAAGTTGGGTTGGATTTTTTTGTTTGTTTGTTTGTTTTGTTTTGTTTTTTTAATTGACTGCAGTGGTCACTAAACCCTTTCTTGATAGATTTTTTTCTATTAAAGATCAGGCAGCTTGTGATGTAATTGCACAATGTTTTAACAAGGATGTGGCACAGAATTGGCTCCCCGCCCCCCAGAAAATGTTGTCACTTGTTGCGTTTTTATTTGAAGTAGGTGTGATTAGGGATAGTTCTTGCCAATGCTGTTTTCCATTCACCAGTGGCCGGATTCATCGTCCTTGGCATTTCTGATAGTGCCTTAGATTGGCTGAAAGAAAAGGGATTAACCTTAACGAAAAATAGTTTAGTGTAGAGTTTGGAGCTCAGACAAGATACCGAGCCTCATCAGTTTGACCCCCACGTGTGCGTGCAGACTGTATCAGCAGCTGCAGGAGCACGGCGGTGGGAGAACCGAGGCGCCATAGGCAATATACTCCACTGATATTTACTAATACCACCCTGGTAGTTATTGGTCCCTGTTAAGCTCTCATTTAAAACCCTGTTCCGTCGCTCAGTTTTCTAGGACTTAAGTTGTCTTGGTGGGTTGTGCACCGTTCTGTGTGCGACTTTTTTTTTATTATTATTATTTCAGTCAGCGTTTCTTTCGAGCTGTGTGTTTTTGCGTCTTTGTTGCTTTTTTTTTTTAGCCATTTGTGGAATATAGTGATATATTGTGTTAATTTGGACAGTGACGGTTTTTTAAAACCATATACTGACTGAAACATGAGCCAGAGCTGATTGCTTTATTAAGCTAATAATGAATGTTATAGAGTACATATTTCAGGATCGTTCATCTAGTGAGCAGTACACATATAGGCCCATTAAAAAAATAGAGCTTGGTCAACCTCTATACTTCACATTACTACAAGATATAGCACTTTCAAAATGAACCTAAACTTTTACGGAAACTTTCTATAGGTTATGCCTTTTATTTTAAGACTTATTATATTCGTTTCAAGTGCCATTAGATGATATATATGTAGGCCTTTGATATATAATGCTTTGTGTACAAAAAAAATGGTAGATGGTATTTTAAACAGGTACATTTTTACAGTGTTTTCTTATCGATTTGCTATATTGCACAGAATCAGTGTGTGTCTTTTCATATGGTTTTACAATGGTTTATTTTTTTACAAGGTTTACGTATCTCAAAGCACACTGTCTTCCCAGTCCGTAAGTAAGTTAAAAAAAAAAAAAAGATACCAGTTCACCCAAGTTGCTTCTAGCCTACTGAGATCCATGTGACATTGGAGGAGATCTTCTCAATGTTGAGTATTCGTCCTTAGTGAAGGCAGACTGGTTTTTCTGACTAATGAGTCCCTCGGTGAGTCTGTTTTGTTTTATACACGCTGTCAGCAGCCAGGTCTACAACACGATGTATCTTGATCACGTGGGCCTGCATGAATACCTGAATCGTATTGTAGCCACAGAGCGCTCCTCGGAGATTATATGCAAGCTAACGCTACCAGCCTTAGTAACAGCACACAGATCACCAGTAAGCCTTTCTCCAATGTTAGCAGCCCCTGGGGATGGAAGGCAGTGTCTTTTGATAGCTTATCTAGCTCTATAGATGACACAGACTTCTCTGTATAAGCTTCAGTGGTACAGACGAACCAGAATGAATGTCTATCTTCTCAGAAACCCTCCTTCAACATTATATGGGATCATGCTGCTACTGTCACTTGGGACACAACTCTCACGGTGCTACAAACTTCTGTCTCGTTCAGTTGTATTTTTTTTTATCCATAGGAAAAGGACTACATAGGTGTAAAGGTGTACAATATATTTTTATACTGTGACTTAATTTGTCATTAACAAACTTTTACACCACCACAGTGTATTCATGTGCGCTTGCAAAAGGAGATCATGGATGTGCAAATGTTACCAGAACAAACCCAGCTTTTGTCCACAAGGTGACTGTAACTCAGAGTGGAAAGTGGGCTTGACGTAGGGTGTGGAGTGAAGAACACACTATAAGTTACTAACAGCCCTTTGAATTTAACAAAAACTGGGAGTCCATTAAGAAAATGGATTGCATCATGCCTGAACATAAGCTGACTGCTGAAATTATATTTTTAGCTAATGAAAAAAGTGTTTGGACTAGTACTCTAAAAATGCTCTAATGGTAAAGTTTTGAGTCAAATAGAAATAAAAAAAATCTGCATTCCAGACTGAATTTTGTATATTTTTATTGCATTTTAAATTGCTATTCTGTGATATTGGAAAATCAAGTGGCTTATCGTGTATATCATGTACTTAAAATGTATTCACAAACTACTGTTGTATTTGTATAAAATATAGACAAAGGTCATCCTGGTGTGTGTGTGTGACTTCTGTATGGCAGCTTCGCGTCGTGGGGCTGCAGTGATAACTGTACTTTAGAAACTCACATCCAAAGAAGCAGGCTGCTGCTTCCTGTTGGGATACCCAGGTGTAGACCCTCACTTGCTGCTACTTACTACTGCAGCTTCTTATAGCCTGCAATGGGATTCATTGTAAGGAAAAAGACTCATAAGTTCCACAGAATATATGACTAGAAATACGGAACGTTTCGATAACACAGACCCTCCTGAATCCTCAGAGATGCTCCTTTACGGTAACGTTTTCCTCCTTCTGTTTTTAGACAATATTCTTTGAGAATTTATATACATATGTAATTATTTTGATCATATTTACCCTTCACATCCCCAGAACCATTCCCCACCGTCTCCCAAGGTCATGTTCTTTTGTTTTCTAATAACCCCAGAGTGCATTTTGTGTGGTCCGTATAACTCCTGGATGGAGGTGTGCGGGCTGCCTACAACTACTAAGTATCTTTTGATTTGCTGATATAAGGCTGGAACTGCAGCCTCCAAAGGCTGTTTGTTTTTTGAATGAAATTGCAGGTCCCAGGATATACGAGGCTTTTGAGCTTTGGGAGAGGCAGGAGAGATTACTCTTCTCACGGGAGCAAGTTATATCACCATCACTCACACGGTGGCTTACAACTGTCCACGACT